TTAACACTAAATATTAATATATAAAAGATAAATTAAAAGTCGCATAAATCGCTTTCGCTAAATTTGTGGTTGATAATTAAACGGCTAATCGATGTCAAAATGTGTTTGAGACGAAGTTTTTTGTATGTTGAATGCGCAACTTTAGACTTTTTACTCTATTTAGTACCTTTAGGAGATTTATGTTATATATTTCGTACTTCTAATGCCCGCGCTTGCACTGTAGTAAGCGGAGGGACTCTACGATTTCGGATCGCTCTGTAGAACACGAGGTATAATTTCATACCACTTTCACAGATTTACGCGCTTTGTAGGCTAGAACGCTTTGCCGCCATTTCATGATTAACGTCAACGTTGAGACCGATCTGGATTCCAAATTCCAGCCTAGAAAAACTGTGCCACGTTTCGTTGCCTACACGTTACACAATTCCAAAGATTGTTCTTGTGGCTTACCGTTGGACTAACTCGAAGGATTAACGTATTACCGAGAGGTCTGGGGGATACGGAATACCCTCTCCCCTCCCACAGTGTATGAGGGTTTTAAACCAGTTGTCGCCAAATGAAGATAGGCCCTTTTTGTCCTGGGGGATATTCCGATACCCCCCAGACCCGCCAGTTCTACATTCTTCACCAAAATGTTTAGGGCGGTTAGCACTTATACCACCATTTATAGCAAAAGTCCTAAGAAATGAACGTTTTGAGGGTAAACGTCCACCGGCGGAGGGGGGAGGGGACTGGAGGTATGGACGACCAGTGTTCGAAGGTCTTATGCCAGCTCTAGGTTAATGAAGATAGACACTTTCCTCTTCCTAAGGGAGTGGGAGGGGGGCTACCCTGGGGGTATTCCCTACCCTCTTGAACCGCCGGTTCTACTTATACCCTAAAATAGTTCACCAAAATGTTTAGTTCCAATCGAACTTATACCACCATTTTGCGCAAAGGTCCTAAGTGTTCCTCGGCGATATCTCGGGAAACGTTCATCGTATGAGTTAGGGGTAAAAAAATTATTGGGTAAATCGGTTATGAAGAATCGCTGGAAAATATTTTCAAGTTCTAAAAGTGACCACCAGAGGGCGTAACGACCTTCTTAGATTTTAAAATTGCATTTTCTTTAAATTTCGCATAATAAACTAAACATTCTTTTTTCACATTTGTAAAGAGAACCAGTTTATCTATCAGTTTCGTAAAAACAAAAACTCAGTTATTTCAAAAACAAAGATGGTGTGGGGCGTTCAATTGTTTTTGCAATAACCTGCTTTAACTTCTTAGTCGTTTGACCGATTGTAACAAATTAGGTATCGTTGAAAAGAGCAACAAGAATCATTCAAAATATAGTTAATTTAGTTGAATCCTTCTCCACCAGGGGGCTAGTTTTGACATTATGATCCAAAATCCTAAAAAAATAAAAAAAATTAAATGGAATGATATCACCCAAAGAGTCCAGTGAAAACCGTTTTGAAAATATCGTTCCTAACCTCAAATATTGGGAAAATGAGATTAATTAATTAATTAATAAGAATGCTTAAATTGTATCTTATTTGACGTATTTCCGGTATTTGTTGATGGAGCGAAAGATTGTTTAGAAAAGGACCCTACACTTTTAGGTAGGCCTTGGAAAATTAAACAAATAAAACACGATGCATTATAAAATAATAGCAGCCGTAATTTGTAAATTATTCTGCTGTGTTTACATTCAGAAAGTGCAGTTTTTTGAATCTGGAATCTTTTCTAAAATGGCGATTTCTAACCAAGAAGCATGTAATATGCTGGCGGCGATGGTTTGTGGTCGATTCGGATAACGCAAATAGAAGATACGGGCAGCGATGGTCGCATTTTTAAAATACTCAAAATATATCGCCAGCATATTACATGCTTATTGGTTAGAAAGAAATCGGCATTTGGAAAAGATTACAAATTCAAAAAACTGCACTTTCTGAATTTTACATTCAGAATAATTTACAAATTACGGCTGTTATTATTTTATAATGCATCGTGTTTCATTTGTTTAATATTCCAAGGCCTACCTAAAACTGTAGGATGCTTTTCTTTCGCGCCATCGACAAATACCGGAAATACGAAAAAGTAAATCAGTTAAGCATTTTAATTAATTAATTAATTAATCTCATTTTCGCAATATTTGAGGTTAGGAACGAGATTTTGAAAAACGGTTTTCATTAGCCTCTTTGGATGTTATTTGGCTACTTTTTCATAAGGAAAAAGTCATATCATTATATTTGATTTTTTTGTTTTTTTTTAGGATTTCGGGTCATAGTTTGGTTGATTCTCATTGCCCAAGGAATGCTCTTTTCAATCAAACCAAATTTGTTAAAATCGGTAAAACGGTTTAGAAGTTAAAGCAGGTTATTGCAAAAAGAATTGAACGCCCCACATCATCTTGGTTTTTGAAATATATGAGTTTTTGTTTTTACGAAAATGATAGATGAACTGGTTCTCTTTAATAATGTGAAAAAAAAATTCAGTTTATTGCACGAAATTTATAGAAAATGCAATTTTAAAATTTGAGATGGCAGTTACGCCCTCTGTTGGTCATTTTTAGAACTTGAAATTATTTTCCAGCGATTCTTCATGACCGATTTACCCAACGATTTTTTTTACCCCTAAGTCATATGACGAACGGTTCTCGAGAGAACAGTCTTATTGGGTCATCCGGTACGTTTTGAGGGTAAACTGTTGCCAGTTGCATGTAAATGAAGATAGACTCATTCTTTTTATTGGGGGGTAACGCCTAGGGGGTTCCACACTCTTCCCCAAAATGTTATGTGCCCTTCGCACTTATATAACACCATTTTTCAATAAAGTCCTAAGAGCTGAACTTTTTGAGGGTAACTAAACGTATCACCGGTAGTTATGGGGCACCCCCCCCCCCCGTGTACAAAGGTCCTATTCGAATTGTAGTTATGTGAAGACAGGCTATTCCTTTTTCTGGGTTGGGGGGGGGGGGGGGGGAGGAGCTACGGAGTGTTCCATAACCCCATTATTTGAAAAAAGTTGAAAAAGTTTGAAAAATGCTTTACAGCTATCGCTCCCTACTGTTCTAGTTGCTAACTATTGACCTTTCTTTCCAGGGCGAGCATAGTTTTAGGAGGCATTCCATAACCCTCAGTCCCCCCGGTATACGAAGCTCTTGTGTCAGTTGTACATTAATGAAGATAGGATCTTTCTTTTCCTGGACCTGGGGGTTATTCCCATACCCCTAGTACTTTACACCTCCATTTAACGAAACAGTCCGTAAAGACTTCACAACTATCGCCTTCTACTGTTCTATTTTTTTATCATTGCCAATTTGTTTCTGGGGACATAGCCTGGAGGGTATTCCAGACCCCCTAAACGACCGGGTTCTACAATTCTTTCCCTAAAATGTGTAGTGCCCTTAGACTTACATCATAATTTCTCGAAAATGGTCTTACGGCTGAACGTTTTGGGAGTTAACGTATAACCTTAGTGTTTTACACTATGGTATAACCAAAGAGTAATTATTAAGTATCTTTGGTATAACCGGAGTTTGGGGATATGGTATAACCCCCGGTATACGAAGCTCTTGTGTCAGTTGTAGGTTGATGAAGGAGACTCTTTCTTTTCCTGGGATTTAAAGCCTGGGGTGTATTACAATACCCCCCAGACCCCCCGGTTCTACATTCTTCCCCAAAACGCTCTAGCCTTTCGCAATTATACCACCATTTTTTGAACAAGCCCTAAAAGTTGAACGTTTTGGGGGTAAACGTATCACCAGGGGGTCTGAGGTTTATGGAGTACCCCCTAATGTACGAAGGTTTTATTCCAGTTGTAGTTAAGTGAAGGGGGGGGGGATAGCCTATGGAATGTTCCATACCCCCCAGACCTCCCCGGTTCTACATTCTACCACCATTCTTCGAAAAAGCCCTAACAGCTGAACGTTTTGAGGGTAAATAAACGTATCACTTGGGAGTCTGATGGATATGGAATACCCCTCAGTATACGTAATTCTTGTGTCAGTTATAGATTAATGAAGATATGATCTTTCTTTTTCATGAGCCTGGGGGATATTCCATTCCCTTAGTACTTACACCACTATTTTTCGAAATAGTCGTAAGGGCTTCACAACTATCGCCTCCAACTCTTTTAGTGTTTATCATTGACCTTTTTTTTTCTGGGGGGCATAGCATAGGAGTTTTCCACACCCCCACACCCTCCGGTTTCACATTTCCCCCGAAAATGATCAGTTATCTTACTACTTACATCATAATTTCTCGAAGGCTCTTTCTTTTTCATGCGATTTAAAGCCTGGGGGGTTTGCCATACCTTCAGACCCCCCGTTTCTACATTCCTCCCCAAAACGTTCTATGCCCTTCGACCATGATTTTTAAAAAGTCCTCAGATATGAACGTTTTGAGAGTGATCGTATCACCGGGGGGCTAGGGGTATGGAATACCCCCCAGTGTTCTAAGGTCTTATGTCAGTTGTATGTAAATGAAAATAGACGCTTTCTGTTTCCTTGGAGGCAACGCCTGGGACATCCCAGTTCTAAATTCTTCCCCAAAATGTTCTGTGTCTTTCGCACTTATACCACTATTTTTCAAAAAAGTCCTAAAACTAAAACTCTTTGACGGGAGCCTTGGTGCTATGGAATATACCCAGTGTATGATATTTTGATTCCTGTTGGACTTCACGACTATCGCCTCGAACTGTTCTGCTCGCTTATCATTGATCTATGTTGAAATTGAGGAAACCGAGATAGGATATGTCTTGATGATTAGTACCCTCACGTCTTACATCATAATTTCTCGAAAGGGTCTTAGGGCTGAACGTTTTTTGGGACGAACGTATCACCGGGGAGTCTGTGGGCATGGAAGGTCTTTTTCCAGTTGTATGTAAAAGAAGATAGGCACTTCCTTTTTCCTGTGTTCTACATTATTCCCCAAAACGTTTAGTGCTCTTCACTTGTATACCACCATTTTTCGAAAAACCCTAAGAACAGAACGTTTTGATGGTAAATAAACGGGGGGGGGGGGGGTAAGATATTTTTCCTGGTGCTGGGGGTTATTCCATACCCTTAATACTTACACCACCATTTTTTGAAAGGGGGCTAAGGGCTTTACAACTATCGCCTCCTACTATTCTTGTTGTTTATTATTGGTCTGTTTTTCCTGGGGAGCATAGCCTGGGAGGCCCCCCGGTTCTACATTTTCCTTAAAATGTTTACACCATTTTTTGTGCCTTTCGCACTTATACCACCATTGTTCGAAAAAGTCCTGTCCTGAACTTTTTGAGAGAAACGTAGAAGTCTTATGGCAATTATATGTAAATGAAGATAGATCCATACCCCCCAGGCCCCCGGTTCTATATTCTTCCCAAAAATATTCTGAGCCTTTTTCACTTATAGGTACATGAGATCGGGTCCAAAGTAGTGAATCCATAACTTTATCCGCATATATCAATTGGGAAGGACAAATCCCATCTGAGCTTAATCTCCTACCTTTGCAAGGCAAATCTAGAGCGAAACCATGCGTTAGTTGGTAATACCATCTCCTATTAGCTGTGTCTCATTGTTCAGTTTCCTCAAGGTATCATAGTGAGCAATGGTGTAATGGGTATCTAAGCAACAAAATTTCATCCTTGACCCCATACCCCATAATATGTTGTTGAGGATTTACTGTGAGCTCCGGAAACTTCAGATTTATGAGTTTTTTCCATTACTACCGGTTACCTTGCGGTCATTTAAGGAGCGCTCTTGAAAATAAACAAATTCATCGGCCTCTCTCACAAAACATAGTCCAAGTTTTGATTCCTGTCAAAATTGGAATGTACCTACTTATCACCCGTTTAAAGGGGTAAGTTCAGAAAAATTCAGTGTCCTAAGTCTTAGTCCTAATTCCGAATCCCTGTGGTGTTTTCAACAAAATTGGCATTTACTTAGCGACAGTTTATTGGGGTGAAATCCGCCCTTGCAAGCTTCGATATTCCAGTACTGGAATTTGGAAGACGATAACGATCGTATCACAGTTGAAATTTCACACTCTCTATTTTCTAAATTGAGGATTTAAGAAAATTGTTACACTAATATTAAGGCATCTTGTGAAGTTTTGTAACGAACACATCTCTTATTTACCCTCCCGATCCATCGAGGCTGCGAGGTTGCGAGATGGAGCTGTTTTCGTCAAAGTGGCCTAATCAAATGTTATTAATAATCGCGTGGGTTTTCTTTTGAAGTGAGAAAAAAATTTGCGTGAAATTCTTTCGTTATCAACTTTCTGTGATAATCACAATCATTATAACGCAATAATGAAATGCTGTGTCTTGTATTTGCAGTAGATTGTTCTTATTGTTGTTGTTTGTTTCAAATGTTCTCTATTTATTTAAGACATCGTTGTTTGTTTTCCATGATGTTTGTTGTTATGATGTGATGGATATAATTAATATGTGTTTTTGTAATATTTAAATCAATGTACAAATATATAGCGTAAACAATTCTGGCTGATCTAGCCCATATGGGGAGGTTTCATTATCACCACCCCAAAAAACACCACTGTGGTCTACTTGGAAGGGTGGTTGTTGCAAAGAGGTCTTTCGTCACATGTTTACATAGGTTTCGAGTTTTTCCTTGCGCTTTCTCAAGTACTCACAAAAATTCCTAAAGGAGAGGTAAATAGTACTTCAAGGAATGTAGATGCTTGTGGAATAGCTGCAAATACCTCTTGAGACCTTTGGAATCCTTTCAAGATTGTTCGGGGCTCTAAAGCCCTCTCAAAACATCTTTAAAAATTCCCAATGCCCTCTGGGCGACACATGGAAATATATTATTTGCACTGACTGCCAAAGGTAAATGCAATGTCCGGATGTTAAAGATTCCAAAATGCTGACAAGGATCTTAATGGACCTTAAAAAGCCTGCAAGGTTAAAAATGACTCAAAAGTTTCGGCAATCAGAAGTGAAGAGAATCACAATAACTTTAAAAAAGCTTCTGCAAGAACTTTAGAGCCTTTTTGGGGCTCTCGGAGATCTGATCCTCAGAAACACTATGAAGAAGTTTGTGAAGTTACAGCAAATTTCTCTCTTACGCACCCTTCAAGCCATATTAAGGAGTTTTAAAGGGCATTGAGGACTGTCGAAGACAGCAAAGTTGCTAGAAAACCCAGGGAATCTCTTGGAGAAAGTTGAGACTTCTAAAGCCTATTAAAGGTTCTTAAAGTCTTTTTGAAGAGTCTTTTAAAGACCCTCAAATGCAATTTGAGACTTCTGAATGAATTTAAGGGCTTTTCAATACTTTTGATATCAAGTTTCTTTAACGATCATTATTAAATATCATTAAAGACTCCTGAGGACTATGAACAACCCCTAAAAACACTTGGGGACATTTCTCTTGAAGGCCCTTACAAATTTTTGCAAGCTAATGAAGGCTCTCTTAGGGGCTTTATGCAGTGTTTGGACGCTGTTGCCGACATATCAATTATATTAAAGGATCTTAAGTGCACTAGGAGACCCTTGAAACCCTTTAATGATTTATTAAATCGCCCATTAAATACATTGAAATGATATGAAATGCCCACCAAAGTAGCAGTGTACGAAAGTCTCGTGCCATTTGTAGGTAAATGTAAATGATGATTGATCTTTTTCACTTCCTGGGGGGGTTTGGAAGACCCCGCGGTTGTAAATTCTTCCCCAAATTGTTTAGTGCCATTAGAACTTAGTCTATGATTTTATCATCGTTTTATCCCATACCCCCCAGACCAGACCCCCCGGTTGTACATTCTTTCCTAAAATGTTTAGTGCCCTTCAAATTTACACCATGATAGTCATAAGGGCTGAAGTGTTGAGGGTGAACGTATCACCAGGCGGTCTGAGGGTTTGGAATATTCCTCAGTAATACCCCCAGTGTATAAAAGTATTATGCCAGTTTTAGGTAAATGATTGGTCCTTTCCAGACCACCCGGTTGTATATTCTTTCTCAAAATGATTAGTGCCCAGTAAAATTTACACCATGATTTTTCGAAAAAATCCTAATTGCTGATTGCTGAGGTGTTAAGAGTGAAGGTGAACGTATCACCGGAGGGTTTGCAGAATAAAGAATACCCACCAGTGTACGAAAGTCATATGCCACTTGGTAGGTAAATGATGATGGGTTCTTTCCATTCTCTGGGGGATACTCCATACCCCCAGATTCCCCGATAGTACATTCTTCTCCAAAGTGTTAGGAAAGTTATATGTCAGTTGGAGGTAAATGATGATTGGTTTTTTCCACTCCCTGGGAGGTATGCCATACCCTCAGATTCCCCAGTAGTACATTCTTCCCCAAAATGATTAGTGACCTTCGAATTTACACCATTATTTTTCGAAAGAGTTCTAATTGATGATTGCTGAGGTGTTGCGGGTGCAGGTGAACGGGAGGTTTGGGGGTAAGGAATACCTCCAGTAATACTCCCCGTGTAGGAAAGTCTTATGCCAGTTGTAGGTATGTGATGATTGGTTCTCTCGATCTCCTGGGGGGCATTCCATACCTCCCAGACCTTCGGGTTATAAAATGTTTAGCGACCTTAGAAGTTACACCATGATTTTTCGAAAGTCGTACGGGCTGAAATCTTGATGGTGAACGTATCACCGGTGGGCCTGGGGGGTATGGAGTACGCCCCCGTTGCCCCCCACTCCGAGTGTACGACAGTCTTATGCCAGTTGTATGAAAACGATGATTGGTTCTTTCCATTTCCTGGTGGGTATTCCATATTCCCCAGGCCCTTCAGTTGTACGTTCTTCTCCAAAATGTTTAGTACCCTTACATTCTTCCTCAAAATGTCTAGTACCCTTAGAACTTACACCATGATTTTCCAAAAGAGCCTTAAGGGATGACGTGTTGAAAGTGAACGTATCACCGGGAGGTCTGGGGGTATCGAATGCCCCCCAGTAATACCCCCCTCCCCCAGTGTACGAAAGTCTTATGACAGTTGTATGTAGGAAAATGACGATTGGTTCTTACCATTTTCTGGCGGGTATTTCATACTCCCCAGGCCCCCAGTTGTACATTCTTCCCCAAAACGTTTAGTACCCTTAAACCTTACACCATGACTTTTCAAAAGAGTCTTCATGACGTGTTTAGGGTAAACCTATCTCCGGGGGTCTGTGAGATAAGTTACCCTCCCGCAGTACCCCCAGTGTACGTAAGTCTTAAGCCAGTTGTAGAAAAATAATTATTGGTTCTTTCCATTTCCTGGGGGGTATCACAGGTCTACATTCTTCCCCAAAATGTTTTGTGCCGTTAGTACCTATACCATAATTTTTTGAAAAAATATCTGACGGTGACCGTATAAGTGAGGGGGTGTCTGGGTGGTATGGAATACACACCAGTGACTGAATGCCTTATGCCAGCTGTAGGTAAATGATAATTGGCTTTTTCTATTTCCTGGGGGGTACAGTCTTTCACAAAAGTGCCCTTAAAGCTTACACCATCACTTTTCGAAAGAGTCCTAAGGGGTAAAAGTTTTGCGGCTGAACGTACACCTCTGGAAAAAGGAATAGCCAATCTTCATTTACCTACAACTAACATAAGACCTTCGTACACTTTGAGTTCGGCCGTATATTTTTCCCCAATATGTTTGGCACTCAGCACATATACCACGAGTTTTGGAAGGAACCTTTGATTGTGAAATTCCGAGGAGGGGAGGGAGGCCGGAGGTTTTGAATTTTTTTAAAATTTGTGGTATTAATGAATCTGGGACAGGGCCTTGAACAATTTAATTGAATGCATTTTACTTTACAAGCCTCGATAAAGCCCTTAGTAGTTATTGGAATCCCATAAGAGGACCCTAGTCGCTCCTAAATATTTTTAACTATTCTTTTGGAGGAGGTAGAGGACAGTCATAAGCTCGCATTTCAACTTTGAAGGGTTGTTAAAGGCACGATTTCAAAATTATAGGAGTTATACACTTTGAAAACTGAAGATGTACGTTACACAATGAGGAAAAGTGGTAGCGATGTAGTTGGAAAATGCATTGATAATCACCTCTTTGTATATTGTTTAAAGTGGCGGTGATTTCTGAAGTTTGGAATTCACTCAGATCTCAGAACCAAGATTTTATATTTCTGCACATTTTCGACTACTACTCGCATTCACCCGATTTTTTTTAATTCGAAAAAGAAAACTCCCTAGCAATTTGTGGGGTTTTTAGCGGAACACTGAATGGGAAACGGGAGTCACATCAATGTAACCTAGTTTAACGTAAAACGGTAATGTTTGCACACAGGAAGTCTCTTTTATCAGTAGTGGTGTCTGATTTAGATAGCATGGCGCATTCAATCATTCCACATTGTGAAGCACCTTGCGGAAGTGCTGGTTTTGTACTACTCATTGGTAAGTAGCGAAACGTACTACTTTGCTTTATTTAGTTTTTGCCCTTTTTGCTCGTAGGGAGTTTCTGTGCTAATCCATGACTCAAAGTAAAAGCACTTTATCAGTTTATTAACTTAAACGGCACGCTTTATCTGTTGTCAGTGGGCCATCTCCCAGAGTTGCTTGAATCTGTAGTTTAGGCTTTAAATTTCTCCGATGCAAAAATCCAAAGAAGTGCGGACAAAGCTGAAATTTTGAATATGAAGTCTGGTGGTCTTAAGGTCGAACCTCAAATTTGGTATATCGTACTGCGCACCTTGAAATTATGCTTTCATATCCAGTGTCTCGGACCACTGCTCCAGAATGATCGATTTGAGAAGCGACCTGAAAATCCTGGAACTTGGCTTCTCGAATTCTTATTTCAAACTCTGATCTTGGAATTATGAAACCCCAATCTCGAGTATCTGTGAGCAATTCTCGTTTTTTGACTTTCAAGTTCTCAATAATGCTTTGTTATTGTGATTTCCTGATGTTAATCCTTGGTCCCTGGATTCTAGTGATTGATGTTCTATTTCATATTTTAAATCCATGACTGTGATTCTTAAAAATAGTCATTTGTTGATTCTTAATGCTCAATTGTTCTTTCTATACGGCAGGCGTTGCCATTTTCCTCATCTAGATTCTCCATTTTTGATCATTGATAACAAGATTAACAAGAATTGTTCTCAGTGAATGATATCGACTTTTTTCGCGATCCTCTAAATGCAATAATAAATCAAATTAGATCCTAATGTTTGTTCAGAGCCCCAGTGCCATGTAATTGGAATTTTTATTCTGTATGGTGTCTGGTTAATAAACAAATAAATAAATAAAAAATAAAAATCCAAGGTCTTGAGTCCTATAAGTGTCTTGTTATTGATTCCCTGATATGCTATTTTCTCAAACATTAATTCTTGCGTGTTCTTTATTTTTGAAGTTTATGGTGATTTTTAGTCCCTAAATCATTACTGGATTACAGATTATTTTTGAATGTAATAGGTACATAATGCGGAGTTCATCCCTAAAGCCTGATCATCGGTTTATGTATCTTATACTACACCCTATCATTGACTCTAGTTTTTAATTTCCAGATGCTAAATTTTCGAATATTGATTATTATCAGCCCCTATTTACGCGCGATCGAGTGTTGAATATGGAATCCAGTATTGGGTAACCACAATTCTTGACCTTCCTTGTCTTTACTTCACATTTCTGTTCGTTGCCTCCTGACTTTGAGTTGCAGATTCTTGACTCTCTTGAATCAATAAATTTGAGCAACGAGTTTTCGGTAACTAATTTTTTCCTGGACGGAACAGCCTTCGCAAGACTTATAAGACTTGAACGTTTTGAGAGTGAACGTACCACCGGCAGGTCTGGGGGGTATAGAATACCCCCCCCCCCCAGGACAATACCCCCCCAGAAAAATGAAAAAGCCAATCTTTAACTACATACAACTGACAAAACCTTCGTACGCTGAGGGATAGAATACCCCCAGACTCTCCGGTTCTACATGCATCACAAAATTGTTTAGTTCTCTTAGTACTTACATCATCATTTTTCGAAAAAGTACCATAGGCACTTACACCATAATATTTCGAAAGACTCTTTATGTCTGAAAGTTTCAAGAGTGATCGTATCACTGGGAGGTTAGGGGGGTATGGTACCAATACCCCCCCCCCCCCAGCCTAGCTTAGCTACTTTCCTAATCTAGATTCTCCATATTTTATTCAGTAATTCAGTAATGTTTATTGTTCAACAGACTTAGTAATCCATAAATGAACAATTATAAAAGTAAATATAGAAGAGTATACATACATTATTAATAAATTATTATAAAAAAAGTAAAATAAAAAAAAAGATAAATGGAATATAATTGTTACAAATTAGTAAGAAAAGTAAACAAACGATAACAGAAAAGGGTATGTGTATATAATGGTACACTTAATGTTGCAAAGCAATTCTATAAACGAAGGCAAAATAATAATTACAAAACTCTGTTAATTAAAAATAGAACTTAAAACATTCGATAAAGAATTATAATTAATGTCACAGTTCTGACAATACATATTATAATTACATGCCATTATTAAAGATGGAGTTCTACGAAGAAGATTTGATTTTGGAGTAGGATAAGTGAAGGTGTCTAAATGCCTGGTAGAATACATTGGTATAGTAAATGACAGTTTTTCAAGGTTATCATTGATAGCATGAGTTGTTGACCCTGTTGTTGACTTTTGATTTTATCGGGTCTGGATATCTAATCTTCAGTTCTTGTTTCGATTATTATTGATTTGCTGTCCTTGATTCTTGAATTTGGAAAATCAAATCTTGATTTTCTCTTTTTCTCTTCTCTATTTTTGAAGTTCACTGGTGATTTTTGGTTCTGCATGAAAGAGCCTTCACACTCCTACAACCGACAGCACCTGCATACACTGAGGGGTATTCCATACCCTCCCAGACCCTCCGTTTCTACATGCCTCACAAATGTTTAGTACTCTTACAGCATAATTCTTCAGTTATCTACAACTGCTAACATCTTCGTACACTCCATACCCTCCAAACCCCCCGTTTCTACATGCCTCACAAATGTTTAGTACTCTTACAGCATAATTATTCGAATGGTGTGGGGGGGGGGGGGGGAAGAAATTCATTGTAGAGAATAGGTAATTCTGTATTTCTGATTTCTTTCCTTCTTGAATATCGATCTCAGAACTTCTCTAAAGCTTCCTTTTCAGTCCTTAGTTCTGGAATTGCATGGCTTACCCTTGATTATTGATTCCTAATGCTTTTTCTTTCTGATACCTCAGCTCCTCGGTTATTTGTTCTTCGGTCTTTGTTTCCGAATGTCCAATTCCATATTCGAGCTTCCCGAGCTCTATTTACTAGTACTATTTATTTCTGAACATTGGATCTCAGCTGACTACCCTTGGTCCATACTGGTTTTTGCCACTTTATTTATGCCTACGGATAGTGATGCCGCCGAGACCAATGTTAAGTCTCGTCTCATCTCGTCTCGAAGTTTTTTTTTTAGAAATTATGTGTACTGTTTTTTTTTTAATTTAATCAAGAGTAATCCATTGAAGTAGCACGAATTCCAATTGTTTACATAAACCGTCCCTCACCTTACTTATTAAGGACTTAATTACCATAGGTCTTATACAACTGTAGTTTTTCTTAAATCCAGAAAGCCTTCCACAGCTTTATTTTATTTGCTTACTCAAATAACGGAAATTGTCTATGCGGGAAAAACAAGATTTGGTTATAATTTTACATTATAGTGAATAGATGATTATAGTTGCAAGAGACAAGATGATATTCTTGCTTTGTCAACTCCTGTCTTGATCCTTAGTTCCCGCCGACACGGTGCAGCGGCGCCACTTGCTAACTCAAATTGTTTGTTTACCGCCCGCCAAGATACAGACTTTATTTACAAAAAATGTGATTTCATTTTGTTGGGGTAATGTTTAGAAGAAACTGTCGGTTTACTTTTACCATAAATCGTCTTGATGGAGAGTAACAAAATAAAACAGATTAGCGTAATAATCGGTGCAAAACATCTAATCTTTAAACCTTTGATTATAAAATACACTATATTCAAAGCTTTAAACAATCTGTATTCAGTTGCTATAAAATTAAAAAAAAAATAGTCCGAACATTTTGTAGATAAAGGTCTAAATTTAAAAAATACTTAGTTCCCAAAAAAATTTTTTTTCAAATAACTTGAGTTTTTATAGCGGGCGCTCTTATGGATATTTACATTGGGTGCAGTAGGTACAGAAGATTTTTAGGATCTCGCGGATTCTTTTATATTAAAAGCCCTTAATTCTCTCATTGTATTTTCACAAATTTATGACATTGAATCTAATCGTTTCCAGGTGTAGGTACAGTGACTCAATTTAGAACAGCGGATACAACCGGGGATCTCGTTTTTGATTGGTAGTTCGTTCTGGTCGCCATATTGGGGCTAAAATAATATAGGTACTTTAGTATTAGTGTACACTTTTTGTGTTCTTGCGAAATTCTGTGAGTAAAGGTACTGCTTAAGGTAAAATGTATATTGTGGACATATGACATATTCAAATACAGTTACTGTAGATATGTACTTACACATTTACCGCGTAGTGAAGGCCATAAAAGTAAGATTTTACAAAATAACTTGGACAGATTATCTTTAAGTATTTAAGTAACAAAGAATTCAGTGAGACTTTCCTACTTAGTTACATTACCAGATACATCTTATGAAATATAATATTTTTAACTGCAGAATGGTAAAGAAAATCCTTAAAATACGAATAATTATGTTTCGTGAATAGCAGATAGATAAGAAAGGTCATTATTATTAACGGTCCTCGAGATCGTTTATAATTTTGTATTGCTGTCTGTCTGTCCGTCTGTCTATGCGTCTGTCTGGCCGTCTGTATGTCCGTCTGTCTGTCCGTGTGCACGATAACATTGTGTAGAAACGTCCGATTGAAAATTGACACATTTGTTCTTTAGGATGTAAGAAAAGTCGCTATTGTTTTGTGGCTACGTGGACTAACGGGTCAAAAAGTTACAGCCCAAAAACTGGCCAAACCTCCAAAAAAGGGTTTCTTTTATAATTCTTGTTACAAACAACATAATAAATGTCCGATTTTCTGTGTTAGTAAATATTCCTTAAACCTCAGGTAACTATGCAGATGAATTAAAAAAAATTGCCCATGCGTAAACCAACTTTTGTATTTGCGCAATCCCAATTTGTTATCTGTTAAGATATTTAAATGAAATTTTGTACGTAGGCACCTCAAATAAAAGTAAAATTCGAGTGCGCGCCGTCGTAACGAGTGGTCGATCGCGATTATAAGTGTCAATTAAGAATAGAACTAATTTGTTAATATAAACCAAATCGTGAGGGTGAGTACCACCCTTACTTGCCGGCGCAATGCCAACTGCAATCTGTGGTGTTTGTCGGGTGGATCTTAATCGTACAGATAAAGTTATTCTTTGTGCTAGTTGGTGCCAAACTTACTTTCACACGAAGTGCGTTAAAGTCAGTGACGATGAAGTTAAATTTATTAACTCAAAAAAGAACTTTAATTGGTTCTGTGACCCCTGCGCTATCCACGAATCACACAGCCTCAGGAATATCTTGACTAACATCAACAAAGTGACGATGAACTGTGATAGAGTTATGGAAAGTCAGCACGAGAAACTGATGAACCACGAGAAGCTATTAAAGGATACTTTAGACCAGGTAAATACCCAAAATGTCAGCATCAGCAAGGATCTAGCGCAAGTTCTCCAAACTCAATCTGAAGTGAAGCTTACTTATGCGGACAAGTTGAAACAGAAAACCTATGACCCAGTTATCATTGTTAAGCCCAAGGACGCGAACCAACCCTCCAAGCAAACCTTCACCACCCTCAAAGAAAATATCGGATCCAATTACCCGAGAAGTTACCGGAATGAAAACTCTACGTAGAGGAACCATTGTTGTTGAATGTAAAAATAAAGAAGCTGCAGCCAAACTTAAGGAGGAAGCCGAAACGAAACTGGGATCCGACTACATTCTTTCCTTACCAAAACAGAAGATGCCGAAGATTAAAATCGTAGGCCTCAATGACAAGATCGGGAGTACCCAAATGAAGGAAATGATTCTCGCGCAGAATCAATTCCTCGACGAAGCCGCGTACATAAACGTCGTACACATAACGGAAGATAAAAGAAATCCTAACAGGTATTTGGCTTACGCTGAGGTTGACGGTAATAGTTACCGGAAAATTCTAAGTGAACAAAAGCTTAACATAGGATGGGACCGTTGCAGAATTTATGATGCTGTGACAACTAGAAGATGCTACAAATGCAATGGGTTCGGACATAAGGCAACTGACTGTAGCAAAACTACTACCTGCCCCAAATGTGCGGGAGCCCATGACCTAGCGAGCTGTAAAGCTTCGGACGCGGAAATCAAATGCAGTAACTGTGCCAACGCCGTTGAGAAACTAAAAATGAAACTGGATGTACAGCACCCGGCCTGGAGTGTTGATTGCCCAGTCTACAAAAAACGACTCGATCAAGAAAGAAGCAGAATTGATTTTTTAGGCCATCCCCAACACTAATCAACCAAGGAAATAGGTACGGATCAACGCTCTCAATCTATTATCAGAACGTAAGTGGAATGCGAACGAAAGCGCAATCTTTCAAAAATAAATTGGCAATTACAAATTACGACATTATTCTACTGACTGAGACCTGGTTAACGGAAAATTTTCATGACGCTGAGTATTTCAACAATCAATATGCGGTCTTTCGCAATGACCGTAATTACGAAGAAATGAAGTGTACCATGGGAGGCGGAGTTTTAATCGCAGTCAAGACCGATTTGAATGCTGAAAAATTGGAATTTCAAAGTGATTTAAATGAAATATGGGTCAAACTTAAAATTAATAATACTTCATACATTATTGGTGTTGTCTACTTTCAACCGAAATCTGGTATTGATAAGTACGTGAGTTTTACCAAAAGTTTAGAAACAATTGAAAACATGTTGCATTCATCGGAAGTGTTAATAGCAGGCGATTTTAACCTACCACAAATTGTTGACGCCACGTATAATTTCGAAAACGCGAGTGCTAAATGCAAAGTAATTAAAAATATAGCTTCGATGTACAACTTAAAACTCATTAATACGGTTAAACTTAAAAACTGCAATAATAGAACCCTTGACCTAATTTTAACTAACTTAAACGCGGAAATTAAATCTGCTGTCGACTCACTGGATAAAATTAATCCACTTCATCCTGCACTAGAAATGGTCTACAAAGTCCATAGACCAGCTAAGCGAATTACCAAATTAACCAACTTCAATTTCAAAAAAGCAGATTTTCTTAAAATGTACGTCCTTTTTCGCGATATCAGTTGGAAGGAGTCTCTTATCCTGAAGAATTTCAAATCGGTAGATGATGCAGTAACTAGCTTTAATCAAACGGTAATGAACATTTTCGATGAATGTGTCCCCAAAGTGACAATTAGGAGTGCCAATAAGTATCCTAGCTGGTTTAATATAGACATTATTAAGAAAATCAAACAGAAAAATAAGTTTCGGTTACAGGGCCCATCGGAAGACTTCATTGAAGCCAGAAAAGAACTCAAAAGAATGATCCACATTGCTCATAAGAGGTACATTAATCAAATTGAAATGGATCTGCGGAAGAATTCCAATAAATTCTGGAACTACATCAAGTCGTTGAGGAAGAATAGTCAACTACCTGGAGTTTTTGAGTACAAAGACACCTCGTTAACGGACGCCAGAAGCATTGCGGACGCCTTTGCATCCTTCTTCGAGTCAGTCTACACTATGGAGAGGAACGATGACCGGAAGATGACGTGGAATCGGACCTGGTGCTATCCAAATTGCACTTGACTCAGTTACATGAATCCGAGATACTGGAAGCAATTAAAAAATTGAAACCGAGGTCGGCTATAGGCGAAGATGGAATCCCACCCTACATCGTGAAAGGATGTGCATCTTTATTGGTAACCCCCTTACAACATCTATTTAATTTAGCTTTGCAAACATGTACATTCCCTGAAGCTTGGAAATGCACCAGAATAACACCAATTCACAAAAGTGGAAGCCGAAAATTAGTTGAGAATTATCGCCCAATTGCAATTATACCAGCAATAGCGAAAATTTTCGAAAGAGTGATCTATACTAGACTTTATTCCCATCTCAGCAGTATAATTGCAGATCAACAGCACGGTTTCACGCGGAACAGATCAACGATTACAAATTTAATGCAGTTTACGCATTTCTCAGCAGGAGCCTTGGATGAGAGAGCCCAGGTTGACTGTGTTTATACAGATTTTGCGAAGGCATTTGATACAGTATCCCATCAAGTCTTGCTCCGTAAACTTGTTTTAAATTGCGTAAGTAATCCGACCGTCAAATTCTTAAAATCATATTTATCTCTCCGTAAAACAAGAGTGAAATTCAATGGTGTGAATTCAGCCGAATTTTATCCCTCATCAGGCGTTCCCCAGGGAACACTTCTTGGTCCTTTTCTGTTTCTCTTATACATAAATGATTTACCGCGAGTGATAAAAAACTCGAAAGCACTACTATTTGCGGACGACCTAAAACTTTTTAATAAAGTCCAATCCCCAAGTGACTGTTTAAATATTCAAGAGGACATTAACTCAGTAATTAAGTGGTGTATCAAAAATAAACTAAAACTAAATATCAATAAGTGTAAAGTCCTTACTTTTACTAGATCGAAAAATCCTTTACTTTTTGACTATAAGATGAATGGAAAGGTCTTACTACGAGTCACCTCCGTTAAGGACCTGGGCGTGTTTTTCAATACCAACCTTAACTTTAACTTACACATTGAATACCTAACAAATGAGTGTTACAAACTTCTTGGTTTCGTTATCAGGCATACACTCAATTTCACGAATATACAGACAATGCTAACCTTATATAATGCGTTTATTAGATCCAAGCTTGAGTATGCTGCATGTATCTGGTCTCCTCAAACTCTCAAATACTCAGACATGATCGAAAAAGTGCAGAAAAAGTTCATCCGAGTAATGTTTTTTAGGTCAACCCAAAATTATCCACATTTGATCTCTTACGGTACCCAGCTTAATTACTTAAATAGTACTTTCGGCTTAGATATAACGAGGTTAGAAACCCGACGGTACATTGCCTCCACAATTTTTGTCTTCAAAATTTTACACAACTTGTTATACTCTTCCGAATTACTTCAAGAAATTAAGCTTAAGGTACCATTTGTTAAGCTAAGGCAAAATAATACTATTTTTGTAGTTAACAACACAACTTCCCCACTTATTAAGATCTTGATCGCTTTAAATAAGTTATCCTCAGTTAATGATATCGACTTTTTTCACGATCCCCTAAATTCAATAATAAATAAAATTAGATCCTAGTCCTAATATTTGTTCAGAGCCCCAGTGCCATGTAATTGGAATTTTTATTCTGTATGGTTTCTGGTTAAATAAATAAATAAAACTGATGTCGGTAAAAAAAATTATTTTGCGCATGTGCAATCCGGTTTTTTAACATCGCTAGTTATGAACCGAATTGCATGAAATTTTGTATGTAAGCACCTCGAATAAAAGTAAAACAAATGCCGATTCAAAAATTTGTTTTACAAGCTATGCTGATCTGGTGGGCCAGAATCAATCCCTTGGTGTGTTGTAAAAATGATGTATGTGCGAAGACCTCGAGGATCGTTCGGTATTCAGTTATATCGGATTTTTTGTCATGCCTTCGTGATGCCCTTTATATGCTTTACACAATTTTTGGACCTCGAGAGACCAAACGACACTAGACGAGACGAGACTGAACCAGGGCGAGAGGAGACCTTCGAAAGTCTCGTCTCGTCTCGTCTTGGGGGCACACTAACTACGGATCCTAAAGTCGTAGTAGTGATATCCCTAATACGTGGTTTATGATACTTGATCCTTGAAAGCCCGTTCTCTGTTCACTTCTCCAGATTTTTCACTCCTGATTGCCCACTCTCCATTCTTCAGACCTCCACCCTTGATTTCTGATTCCTAGCCACCCGATTTTTATTCACAATGCTTCCTCGAGTCCTTATTTACTGATTCATGTCACATCATTTTGGTTTTTGATTCCTGCTCCATCTCCGACAATCAATATTCTGGCTCTATTTCCGATTCAAGATTATTTCATTCTTGACTGGCAACTGTAGGTTCCTAATTTTTCAGTGCTGATTCAGTAAACCGATTCTTGATCATTTAATTTTCATTCCTGATGTTTGAACTCTGATTGCTTTCGGTAACTTTCTGGCCATTGGATCCATATTCGCAGTGGTCTATTTGGGATTTCCGATGCGTGATTGTTGATTCTGGATTGATCCCTCTTTCTCTTACTTAGAATTATTGGTTTCAATACTTGGTTCCAGGCGATTGATATTCGATCTTTGGTTTCTGTACCTTTACGTGATCTTCTCCTTGAGCTTGGTACTGTAAGTACTGTGTCTTGGTCCTTGGTTTCTGGTTTCTGATCAACTCCAAATTGGCCAATTGGATGCGAATATCTTAAATTTTTACTCTTATCCCACATTTGACGTGTGACGTTGTGATGTTGTTCTTCAGAGTTAGGCATCAGGTGGCCTCTTCTAATAAATCACGACTCAATGTTTGACTAGCATCGTGTCATCGAAATTCCGGAACGTTAAAACTGGAATCTGGATTTTATATTGCAAGTCTGGAATCCGACTTCCGCTGGCTGGTTCCTGCTTCCCGATTTGTAAATACTCTTCCTCAAAAAACCGCAGAGTTTGGAAACGTGACGTTCCGCTCCCATTTTTTCTGGAATTTTCGGAATCCATCACCAGTCATCCAGTCCCAAAACTATTAACTACGAATTTTTGAATTTGCAGTTTGCTGATTATATGTTTTACAGGTCAGAATGCGGTTACTTCTGGTTCTGTTCGCTGTCTTCGATGTAACCCGAGCGGGATCTTGTAACATCCGTTTTGACACCATATCGATTTACTATGGCGAGAAAAGGGTGAATCAGTATGTATGCGTGAAGGTCACACCGGCTGATCTAACCCAGGATAGCTTTTTCCCGGTCTCCTATCCGGTCTTTACGGCTAATGATTCGCACCTGCTCTCCGTTTACAAGGAGATGTTCGCAAATATGGGAAAGCATTATTTGGAAATTAAAGTACTGGCAATGGTCAACAGTCACATTAGGAACATATCGGAGGATGCATTTGACAAATTCGTTGGCCTCTCCTACTTGGACCTACGCCACAATGACATAACCGAGATTGGTTTCCTGAAGACGATCATTTCGCGGTTACAGACTGTGGACTTGAGTTACAACAAGATAGAGCACGTTTCCGTCATCAACATGTCGCATCCGAGGAACTTGAACAAGTTGAATCTTGCATTTAATAAAATCATCACCGTTGACTTTGGTTTTGTGCCAAACGCGACCGCGTTGAATGCCCTGGATTTAAGTCACAACCTACTCGAGAATTTAAGTGAAGGTGTGTTTAGAAGTCTTCCTTACGTCGGAGAGGTATACTTAACGAACTGCACCAGGAGAAAGCTGGACTTCAGGATTTTTGAATCAACCACTCGTTTGCGCGTTCTCAACGTCAGTCATAATGATGTTTTGTTACCACAGCTGCCATCACTTCCCCAATTGAGTTCGCTGAATTTGTCGGCCACCAAAGTTGCAATTGACCAAGAGATGTTCATCGCGTCACGGCGCCTTCAGCATTTAGATCTCAGCAGTAATGGATTCAAAAACTTGGAGAAAAGCGTGTTCATTCACTTACAGGATTTGGAATCATTGCATTTGCATCACAACGACTTAGAGTCATTAGAGCAAGACATGTTCAAAGGGCTAAACAAAACGCTTCTGCTCAACTGCTCCTCTAATAGGATCAAGTCGTTACAGCCGAACGTTTTTGTCGAGTTGGTCTCTTTGCGTTCTTTAGATCTGGCCAGAAATGGCCTGGTAAAGATCGAAACTGGAGCGTTTCATTCGCTGCCCGAGTTGAGGTTTCTCGACCTAAGCGAAAACGCTATCGAAACCCTTCACGAGATGACATTCAAGGGCCTCAACCTCCTTCTGGAACTGCACTTAAACGGAAATCGCGTCAAATCGCTCGTGTCCA